GTGGCACAAGTAATAAATATCGAATCCACGGGTCTCTAGAGTTACTATTATTCAGCGTCATTTCATTATCTAGCAAATCAGATTACGATAGAAGAACTATAACTACTCTAGCAAACAATAGTTAAAGTTAATCTAGGTAAAACTACTAATTACAGGTTGGGAACTCACTCAGGTATGATTCGCCCTAGCTCCTCAATTATGTCCAAGTTGTAATTTCCTTTGGTTGTTTTACTGCAGATTAGGCTGTAGAAGATTCGAAAATAGCTTGGTATCTCTTAAGTTGACCAAGCCCTCTTAGACAGATTATTCGGCAAGCGACTAGCCTGCACCGGGATAGAATGCTAAGGCGATTCACACATATCTCCACTACTTGGAATGAATTCTAGTACAAAGCAGTAAATTGACTACCTATTGTTCAATCAATTCACTCCTATCAATTGAAGAAGCTCTATCAACCTAATCAGATTCTATCTATCATAGGTTAAAGCAGAAGTCAAGAGAATTTGATCAGGATTCAAATGACTCAATAAACATGCCTCAATCGATTAAAATCAAACAGTATAGCATCCAAAGGTTCATACTAGAAAGATCCTAACACATAGAACCTGGGTTCCTCATAACCTAAGCGAAGGGAAGTTACTCCATAGAGAAGAGAGAGAATGCAGAAATCTGATCTAGATCTTCAATCTTCCTCTCCAAGCTTGATTCTCGAGCTCTAATGGAAAAAGAATCCTCCAAAATAGCTCCAAGAATGTTCCCAAGTCGCTCTCTCCCTCTAGGGTTCGTCCCTTGGGTGTTTGGGATCCAAAACCCAGCTGTCCTTCCCAAAAATCGCAGAACACAGACTTCTCCGCACTAAAAAAATGGGCACGGAAGGGAAAAACATTGTCGTATTTCTCATGCCCGTGTTTCTTCCTCCGCTCATGTTCCATTGTCTTTCATGCTTCGTTTCCCCTCGTTCAGACTCTGAATCAGTCGTCGTTTGATCCCAGACGCTCGTAGTCTTGTCCCCTTTATTTCCATGACAAGCTTACATGATTATTTGTTCATAAAATGAGTTATAAATCCATTATTCTTCAGGTCATGCCTGAGTTTCTTCTCCCGAGTCACCAATTGGTCTCCGATTGACTTGAAACTTGCGCCTATACCTCACTTTACGTACTATGACCTGAAATGTGACAAATGAACACAACCTAGTGTAAAATAGGACAAGAAAGCACAAAATCAAGCAAAAATGATCAAGAAGCGAGGGTGCAAACATGTGCAAATATGGTGCTATCATTTAGGTATCCATGATATTCTTATAGTTAGTTACAACTCAACATATCACTTGTGTTATGCAAGGGCCATTTCATATCACATTCACTTGCATGGATCATAGGCCATTTTATCTCATCTTGTATAATGCACAATAGACAACTTTTGTTGCCATTCTTTTCAAATGAAAGCCTCAAATGGCATTTCACATACCATATACTCATCACATAATATCGTTTAGCACACACACAACAACATGTATTATGACCTTCTGGTCATACCATCATACAACCGTTTATCATATCATCACATTATCATACAATTACCACGGTATGATAACCTCGCCCAATCATATGATCATTTCATCATTTCATCATTTCATCACCATTCAATCATTTAACCACACCACATATCGATATTCACACACATTCGGTTTAAGGCTTACCAAGCCATCATACACCTTCTAATCGAACTGCTTCATGACCCGAATACCATAATCGTATTAAGATAAACATTAAGTTAGAATTTACTCAGTTGCTATTAATTAGCTATTCGGTTTCGTTTCAATGATTCCCAGACTTCCGCTTTTCCTTTGAAAAGTGATGTATAAAGGATTCAGTAGAAGAGCTCATGGTTTCCTTGTCACGATTAAGATATATCTCACATTAGAGGATTCGTTGACCTCCGGTACACCTTATATCCTTTCACAACACTTACCCATCACACAAACCGAGTACTTTAATTCACAACACATGAACCTACTTAAGAATCCGCACATAAGCTAGGCATTTACAACCATCCCTGAAACTATTATTTCATTGTTAACTAATCGTCATCTTGTTATTTATATACCAAGCTCACGGGATCCCGTGTTGGCATATCCAGCTCATACAAGCCACCTAATTAATCATAACCAAAACCCTTTGTGCCTCTTTATACACATACTCACATAACCTAACTGTTGTATGCATGTGTATAATTCACAACCATCATCATTATTAACTATTCTTTTTCTTTCTCAATGGAAAGATTAATTCCACCCACATGCATTTTTTCGTACAAGGCCGAGACCGGAATCTCACCAACAATAAGCGATTTAGCATTTACATGACAGATTTTCGGATTAAATCCCCCATCGCCAACTCGGCAATCAACTAACCCAGCTCACCCTCCCTATATAGCTACCCAGATCATGCAAAGTATCACCTGTAACTTTAAATTAAGTTATCAAAGATAAGAAGGGATGGTACATACCTGAAGCAACATGCATCCCCACCGCTAACCTTAATACTTGGAATTCCCCTCTTCCTAGGATCAGAGTAGTCACTGGAATAAAGGACCAACATATACAGCTTAAAGTTATTGGGAGCTAGTTAGTTTCTGGATATTTCTCTCCAAGCACTAGCAGGAACAAGAAGGGAGGGTGGTGATAACTAATTACGTCCTCCCTTATCTTATTTATTAGTCAAATCTTTTTCATATTCTTGTTTATCAGTCAAACCTATTAAAATGTTATTAATTAGTCAAAAAAATTGTAATGGATCAAATTATTAGCCACTTTTACGTTATCGTTAATAATTTTCTAACTCTTTTATTAGTTAATTAGAATACTAAAATATGGGAATGTTGACCTTCATGTGTCTCTTCCAAGTCAGTATCATGTTACCAAGTTAATATTACTAACAAAATTGCTAACTAAAAGTTAGCAATTGGTTAATTATTAGTATTTCGATAGATTTAGCTAATAAAAAAGAATCTGAAAAAGATTTGGCTAATAAATAGTTGTTACCTTTTACTTATAAGGTGAGAAGAGTTAGCTAGCTATGTGTAGGTTTTCCAGGGAGGTGACCAGCTGGAACTAATTCCAAAGGTGTGATGTGGTGACATGAGAGGGTAGCGGTAAGAGAAGGGGGAAAACTAGTGTAATGGGATTATTTCCATGTCAATGAAATTACCAAGTTCCCCGTTAAATCATATCATGGTATTTGATTTGATACAACTTAAGAACATCCTATACTCTTCATATTTCTAATTAAGTTTGCCAACTCATTGAACGGACCACCTAAATTTGATTTTCTTTTTAAGCCATAAAGCATGTGTAACAAGTAGCTCAAGTGGGGAGGGTGTAAGAAGAACAATCCTCCGAATCATGTCGACGCGCACATAAATTCTATTGTCCCTATCATCACCTTTCTTTTTTAAGGGTTTCCTCCATCCTCAGGAGTGATCTTTTCTATTAACCAAGTAATTGATACTTGGTTCTTACTCAAGGGTGGCTTCCCATCATCCGGAAGCTACCCTCTGAGTTGTTTTGCACGAACAACCCCAAAGCACTCTGGAGCAAAGATTGCCAATCGTTAAGATTCTCGGCATCTAAAGGCGGTGGATGATCGTTCACAATCACCGCATCGTCATCGATGGGCAAATACGTTAGGATGTTGATGTCGTTCAATGAGATGACACACTCTTCTTCATAAAAGTTGAAGTTGTTAGAAATCGAACAGAAAAATTAGGGTTACCGAATCTGGCTGAGTCGCGGACTAGGTCGCTCTCTTTAAGACGTTCGCGGCACTGCCTTCGTTGCGCACGGCAGACTATCAGCCGGTCGCCTCCAGGATAAAACAGCCACTCTTTTTATTTGCTCAGCGGCTTTGTGCGGAAAACCTGAGCTCTATGAACTCACTCTCTATCTCGTGTTTCTGCTCTCTGAGGGTGTGTTTAGAGGGTCTAGGGGTCTGCTATTTATAGGAGCAGAAAACCTAGAATATTCCCTCTTTCTTTGGGAATAAGCCACATTTTAATTAGGAAGATAATTACTTCCATAATTAAAATATATTATATTATATTAAGATAATTAATCCTAATTATCTCCATAATATTCTTTTTATTAATTATCCTTACTATTTTCGTATCTAGAAAGAATACGGGATAATTAATTCAATATAGCTTTCAAAGCTATTCATTCCCAACAATCCCCCACTTGAATAGTTTTGAAACTATCTCTGAGCATCAACAGATCCATAAGATCGGGCATAAGCTCAGGTATCGCGAAGATTTGAACCTTAGCGTAGTGGTTACACTTCCGATTTCATAAGGGTGACTCGTAGTCTTGAACCCTATCTCAGACAATGTAGCACACCGGATCTTTTCATTGTGATGTGACCAAAGTACGCAGCTTTCCTACTTTTTATGGGTTTTCGAAGCTTTTCTCCAACGAACAAGAACTCGAATAAAAGATAATGATGGAACACGATCAAACAGATTCCAACTCGTGTGAAAGGCCAATTGGTATATGAAACCAATCAAACAATCACCCACTCGTGAATAAGGCCAATCGCTATTGGGTAGAAGCTCGCCACAACTAGACGCGTTCTCTAGTTGATAAGAGACACGTGAAACTCCTGGAGCACTCTCTACAGAAGCTTGCACAAAGAACTAGTTCGTATGAACTTGTAACTTGAAAGTTGATTGATAATTGAATGAGTTACAATGAGGAACTCAGCCTCTTATTTATAGACTAGCTAACACAAATCCAAAGCTTAAAATGAAAAACAAATCCTACAAGTAAAAGGAAAAAACACAATCCTTAAAAGACAAGTAAAAGGAAAACACAATCCTTAAAAGACAAGTAAAAGACTTGGTCAACAACTCCCTAGATTCTAGCCTTGCAATCCTCCCTCACATGGTTTGTGTTCACACCTGATATTCCTTTCACACTTGTACTCCTTTTCACACCTTGTGTTCACACCATGGGAGATCTTCCTTCCTTCTACCAAGCCCATCTTCTCTTCATTCTAGTCCATAAATCGTAGCAATGTGATGGACTTTCCTTCTAGCAAGTCCACGTCCATCAAGAATGATCCCATTTGATCCTTGTATCGTCGTACTCGGACCTTCATCTTTGGACCACGAGAATTATATATTCTGCCAATGGATTTCACATCAACAAACTCGTAGGCCTTGCTTGAAATGACCTTTTCTTCCACCTTCAATGCTTCCAAGCTCTCTTTAAACCTCTTAAATCGTCTCTTGAACCATGGTCCATGTAGATATCTAGTTTGAGCTCGTGTGACGTCATGCGGGGTGAGCGGGGTCGCATCATTCCCTCCCTCTTGAAAAAGATTTTACCTCAAATCTTGTTGTGACATATAAATTCTCTCCCGTGACTTCATTATTTTCCTTCTTGACCATGCACCTTGAAAACTAAGATGATCCACAAACTCTTGGAGTCTTCGTCTTTCTCTAATATGAGCCTCTATGTATGTCACTTCATCCCCAATAACAAAATCAACGTGGTCAATGATCTCACCATAATCTTGCATATGAATTGACTTACATTGAAGAGGGTTTTGACCATGCTCATGAGCATAATTGGGTGGTGTGGGAGTACTTGATGCGTTGATTATGCCTTGGGACGAAATTTGATGTTGTTGTACGGCTTCTCCCATGACAAAATCAACTTGAGTAGGTGATGACTCATTAATTGCTGGCTTCACATCTTCACTACGTGCTAGCATCAATGTCTTAGGCTCCAAGACACTAGTTTCACCTTTCTTCTGGCCCACGACACTAGCTTCCTTCTCTTGCTCCCTGTTTCGTTGTAATTGTAATTGGTCTTCATAGACTTCCTTGGGAGACAAGGGCTTCAACATGACCTTCTTTCCTTTATGCATCAATCGATATTTGTTGGAGACTCCATCATGTTGTGCGCTTCGATCGAATTGCCATGGTCTTCCAAGTAGGACGTGTGTAGCTTGCATAGGTACTACGTCGCACAGAACTTCGTCCTTATATCCTCCAATGGCAAATTTCAGAAGAGTTTGCCTCGCCACTTTAATTGAACCATCCTCGTTGAGCCATTGAAGCTTGTAGGGTTTGGGATGCTTGATCGTGCTCAATCCCAGTTTGCTAACCGCTATGGTACTAATAGCGTTAGTGCAACTTCCGCCATCAATCACCACGGCGAGCAGCTTCCCATCCACTACACATCTTGTATGAAACAGGTTCTCCCTTTGCTCGAGGTCTTCTTTGGGTTGCACGCTTAGCATTCTTCTCGTGACAAGCAAACTTCCAGGAGGGGGCTCCATTTCTATTGATTCGTCAACTTCAGATTCTGATGGCTCCCTCGCGTGCTCCTCTTCTTCGGAATCCGAGACATATTCTCCATTCTCTAGTAGGACTAGAGCTCTTCGATTAGGGCATTGGTTGGCCATATGCCCTCTTCCATGACATTTGAAGCATTGAATGCCTCCACTAGAGCCTGTAGGCTTGTCTCTTGGTGCTTCAACCTTGGCTGCCTGTGTTGGTGCTTCTAGCTTCGTTATGGCTGGCCTAGGGTTTGAAGTTGAAGGCGTTCCTGGCCTTGGTGCTGCTTGTGGTGGCGTGAATCTCCTCCCAACGTTACTACGTTGTTGTTTCTCCACTTTGGCTGCTATTGCAACCAAATCGTATAGATCCGCATAGGGGTGAAGTTCCACCACATTTCTAATTTCTCGATTAAGCCCACATAAGAATCGTGCAATGGTAGCATCACGATCTTCCTCCAAATCCGCTCGAATCATTAGCATCTCCATCTCGCGGTAATAATCCTCTACACTCTTGGTACCTTGGCGCAGAAGTTGTAGGGCTTGATGCATCTCTCTACGATGAGAACTAGGCACAAATCGATCCCGCATTACAGTTCTCATCTCTGCCCATGTCTCAATAGGTGGCTGCCTATTCTTCCTCCTCCTCATGCTTACTTGATCCCACCACACAATGGCATAATCCGTAAACTCGAGTGCGGCCACTTGTACTTTCTTCCTCTCAGAATAGTTGTTATAATCGAAGATCAATTCCATCTTTCGTTCCCAATCTAGGTAAGCCTCGGGATTAGTAGAACCTCTGAACGATGGTATGTTGACCTTAATATTCCTCAAATCATCATCTTCATCTCGAAGGTAACCCTCGTCATCCTCATATTCGACCTCTTCATCACGAGGCTGGCCTCGTCTTGCACGTAGTCCACCCATTGGCCGATGTCGCCTAGCATGTTCGAACACGGGTCGTTGTACCACCCTTCTCTCTCCACGATCTTCTTCTTCCCTCCTAGCCCTTTCAGCAGCAACATTAGGGTTAGGGTTTGGTGGTGCTTGCATCCGTGTTTCCCAAGCTTCCATTCTTGCATTTTGAGCTTGTAGCGCCGCTTGAATCTCCCTCTGGCTGGTGGTATGTGCTTGAAGTAACGCTTGGATTTGATCAGTCAATGCCCTGATCTCGTCTCCCATATTTGCGGCACTAATTACTCCTTCAAGATAGCTCGCAAGAACCTTCAAGAACGTAAAGACTCCTCCAAGATCCTTTACGATGACGTCAAAACCTTCAAGAACACGACAAGATTGTCAAAGAACCTTCTTCTCCGCTGCGTTTGAACCGGGCTCTTGATACCACTTGATGTGACCAAAGTACGTAGCTTTCCTACTTTTTATGGGTTTTCGAAGCTTTTCTCCAACGAACAAGAACTCGAATAAAAGATAATGATGGAACACGATCAAACAGATTCCAACTCGTGTGAAAGGCCAATTGGTATATGAAACCAATCAAACAATCACCCACTCGTGAATAAGGCCAATCGCTATTGGGTAGAAGCTCGCCACAACTAGACGCGTTCTCTAGTTGATAAGAGACACGTGAAACTCCTGGAGCACTCTCTACAGAAGCTTGCACAAAGAACTAGTTCGTATGAACTTGTAACTTGAAAGTTGATTGATAATTGAATGAGTTACAATGAGGAACTCAGCCTCTTATTTATAGACTAGCTAACACAAATCCAAAGCTTAAAATGAAAAACAAATCCTACAAGTAAAAGGAAAAAACACAATCCTTAAAAGACAAGTAAAAGACTTGGTCAACAACTCCCTAGATTCTAGCCTTGCAATCCTCCCTCACATGGCTTGTGTTCACACCTGATATTCCTTTCACACTTGTACTCCTTTTCACACCTTGTGTTCACACCATGGGAGATCTTCCTTCCTTCTACCAAGCCCATCTTCTCTTCATTCTAGTCCATAAATCGTAGCAATGTGATGGACTTTCCTTCTAGCAAGTCCACGTCCATCAAGAATGATCCCATTTGATCCTTGTATCGTCGTACTCGGACCTTCATCTTTGGACCACGAGAATTATATATTCTGCCAATGGATTTCACATCAACAAACTCGTAGGCCTTGCTTGAAATGACCTTTTCTTCCACCTTCAATGCTTCCAAGCTCTCTTTAAACCTCTTAAATCGTCTCTTGAACCATGGTCCATGTAGATATCTAGTTTGAGCTCGTGTGACGTCATGCGGGGTGAGCGGGGTCGCATCACATTGAGTGACATTCTCTCATAGGCCGTGCGTTTATGGCCATGCACGTTATCGCGGTTTAGTGAACGCTCTAGCAACTTTGTGCCTCCAAAGTTCCATAGGGAGCGGCCCCACTCCCACATTCACATAGGTGAGTCTATCAGAAGTACCCCCAAAGTAAAGTACTCCACCCCACACAGGGTATAGATCTCATTAAGAGTTGTTAACTCAATCTCCATTGCTTTGGGATTCATGCTTCACTATGCATGAACTTTTCGCATACTACTCATGACTTGTTATTACCCATTGAACCCATTTCTTGGGATCTCCAGTCTATTGGGTCGGGTTACCATCACTTGTAGTCCATGGTTCGGTAGGCATAAGTCTCATACCCTTCGTGGTATTTTGGACTTTCTCTCTAGATAATCCTTTCGTCAAAGGATCAGCTAGATTCTGTTAGGATCTTATAGGATCCACCCTCATTGCTCCTATCGTTAGGAGTTCTCTTACAGTACTGTGCTTACGACGAATTTGTCGTCTCTTTTCGTTCTAGAACCGGTTCCCTTCTATTGCAATAGCTGCGGTGCTATCACAATTAATCAACTACCGGAGGGATCGGTCTTTCCCATAAGGGAATCTCTAGTAGTGACCCTCTCAATCAACTTTCCTCCATACTAGCCATTGCTAGTTCTATATTTCTGATTTCTTAGTTGATTGAGCCAGGATCGTTTACTTTTTAGACTTCCAAGACATAGCTTCTCTGTCGATGTTTAAAACACAGCCTCTTGTTGTCTTGGAGTCCTCTATAGGGTATTCTAATCCGCATCACTATACCCTACCAATACAGCAAAACCTTTGATAACAAATACCAAGGCTTTTCTGTTCTTTTAAGGTGTCTCATGACCCCTTTCAATAGCATTTCAATGCTTCATACTAGGACAATTAGTAAGCCTGCCAGGTACCCCCACTATGTGGATCTAGTTCAGCTTGCTGCTCTTATTCTTGAAACTTTAATGTTTCACAGCAACCTAAGTGGTTCGTGTAGTACTGATAATAGTACTTCTTATAGTATCGTTATTATGGGCAATAATCCCATTCTATTCCCATATATTCTTCAATGCACACATTTAGACAATATCATTCTTTCCATAGCATGTATTCAATTTATACTCTAATCATCGAGATACATAATATATCTCAATGTCAACTTATCATGCATCAATTCAAGCTTTCATTCTAGCATTCATAACCTTTCTAAATTTTATGCATAAAACCAATAGACATGAATTCTAATTTTGTCATTTATTAATGACTCACGAAAAAGGTTAAGATTCTAACCTCTTTGCCGAGAAGTCACTCCCCTTTGATTTTATAGCTATTAGCAAATAGTTGTCACCATATAACTTCTTTGTTTCCCAGTCTCCAAGCAAATCTTAAAAGCACCACGGTAATCACCGAGAGCCCTGCATCTTTCCTTTCGATCTTAGAGGGTGAACGAAAAAATGTCCGGGACGGGATCCGCTTCCCTGCATCTATGAGTTTCACTCTTCTGTTAATGAACTCTCCATCTGTTAGCGATGTCGTCCGCTCCAATTCACACTTAGCGGTTACTAATAGAGGAAATCATGTCTGCGGGGCCAAGCTAATTAAACACTCAAAATAAAAGAAACGTGAGCGTTTGATCATCATTAAAGAAACCTTCCTCTCGCATGATAATTAATAAATTAATGAACTACTCCAATTAGGAGAAGAAAGCTTCTGAAGCAAACATAAGTCCTTCCCAAACGAGTAGGGAATTTCTCCTGACCGCAACTTGCTCGAGCTGATGCTCGTCCTTCCTCGTGGGGAAAGCTTCCCAGTGGAATAAATAAACTATCCATCCAATGGAATTGGTACGCGTAAGGAGGCGAGAAGGTTGTGACAACACTGCGACCGCTGTGGTTAGTGCCGAGGAACTCCATAGTCGGAGCCCAGAGAGTCGTTTCCGCAGGACGCAACGAGCTTCCATCGATGACGTAATTTCTCATATAGCTTCGTCGCATCTCTCCTTCCGATTGAAGCGAGATATAGTAATCGAATCTGTTCGGTTCATATAACAGCAACCAAACGTCTTAAAATTGTTAGAAATCGAACAGAAAAATTAGGGTTACCGTCTTACCGAATCTGGCTGAGTCGCGGACTAGGTCGCTCTTTTTAAGACGTTCGAGGCACTGCCTTCGTTGCGCACGGCAGACTATCAGCCGGTCGCCTCCAGGATAAAACAACCACTCTTTTTATTTGCTCAGCGGCTTTGTGCGGAAAACCTGAGCTCTATGAACTCACTCTCTATCTCGTGTTTCTGCTCTCTGAGGGTGTGTTTAGAGGGTCTAGGGGTCTGCTATTTATAGGAGCAGAAAACCTAGAATATTCCCTCTTTCTTTGGGAATAAGCCACATTTTAATTAGGAAGATAATTACTTCCATAATTAAAATATATTATATTATATTAAGATAATTAATTCTAATTATCTCCATAATATTCTTTTTATTAATTATCCTTACTATTTTCGTATCTAGAAAGAATACGGGATAATTAATTCAATATAGCTTTCAAAGCTATTCATTCCCAACAGAAGTTGTGTGTCTCCTTGCGCCATCTCTCCACCACTGATGTGATAAGTTCACCGTCGATCTTGATGTCAACAAAGTGCCTCGTCGTCTCCAACATTGCCTCGTCGTCTCCAACATTGCCCTTTTGAGATATGGCAAGATAGCGTCGTTATACGGGAGCACATTGCTCTTACCCCTATGGCGGAGAATATAATATGCACTCTACAAAATAAATTAAATGCATAATTTTATGATTTATAAACTCGCAAATTAATTATAACAAACAATTGAAATTAACAAAATGAATACCATTTGCAAGATATACAAATAAATCAACTATAACAAACATATTAAATTAACTTAAATAAATAGCATTTGAAAGATATACACATAAATTCATTATACCAAACAATTGAAATTAACAAAATGAATAGCATTTGCAAGATATACACATAAATCCATTATAACAATCAAATTCAATTAACTAAAATGAATACTATTTGCAAAACATGAACAATAAACCATTATAACAAAAAACTTTAAATTAACAAAATTAAAACCATATATTTATTGAAAGATATACACAATTCACATAAATCCAACACACCATTTTGTAAATCTTATTGGTTGTTTTCAATGATTTAAGCCAATACAAGTGAACTCCTTATACTCTTATAAGAGGTGGTAAATCTCCTTAGAAAAACATCTTTTTTTTATAGAAAAAGGGGGATTCGAGGATTGCTTAACACCCAATTTTTTCAGAAAATGAGAGGATCATGATGATCGCTTAAGACCCCATTTTCTTAGTCATGCATTTCTTTATACAAAGTCTAAGTAAGTGTGTCATTGTATTAGCCACATTATTGAAAATAACCAATATGATTAACCATTTTCAAAATAACCAAGGCGCATGACCTAAATCGTTCAACTTTCCATACATTTCTGCCCATTACATGTCTTTTTTCGTTATGCAACTCTTGTCAGAGCTTTTGTCTCTAAGCGCTTCGGTTCTCAAATATCTCCCTTTGTCTGGTCTCTAACCCCTCTTGGGCTTGTATAGTTGGACCTTGCTCTTCTTCTTGGGCTTCTCCTTATGGGCCTTCTTTATACCCCGAACAATTGCCCCTCGGTTAGACGCTTAATTAATCCAATTAGGGGCCTAACTATGCTGTGATGCCTGCTTGTACTTCTTGTTTTTATGTGTCTTCCTTGTTTTCATGTACACTCACTCCTCTTCACTTCTCATCCCTCTTTTGCCTTGTAAAGTTGTTGCGCGCCCCTTTTTCTTCCCTGCTCATTTTCATACGTGTGCAGCGTGCCCTTTGTTTCAACCCTTTCTTCTATTTGACGTGTATGATCGTAGGATATGACAGGAGCATAGAACTGCCGTGATTATCTATTATCTAGCAGACTAAGTTGAGTGAATGTGATTTTAAGTAAAAGCACTAAGAAAGCTGGGAATGGTTCGAAGTTCTTAAGCAGGGGAAGAGTCACTCGGGAATATCCGACAGTAGCTTGGCATCTCTTAAGCTGACCAAGCCCTCTCAGCGCATTTCCCCGGCAACGGCTCCAAAAACTTGACACGCTAAAACACAACACCAAACTACGACCAAGTATAATCGCAGTCCGGAAATGCTAAATAGTGGTAAGTTTAATTTATCAACCTGGGGTCTAGATCTACTGCCTACTCCGTGATTATCTATTATCTAGCAGGAATAAGTGAGTGAAGTTGAATTCAACGAAAAGCAGAAAGAAAGCAGTAAATTGTCTGGTTTCCTGAAGCAAGAGAAGAGTCACTCGGGAATGAGTCCCCCTAGCTCCTTAGTTAGGTCCAAGTTGTATTTTCCTTAGGTTGATTTACTATTGATTAAACTGTGGAAGATCCGACAGTATCTTGGAATCTTTTAAGCTGACCAAGCCCTCTTAGACAGACTAACCGGCAGACGACTAGTCTTCACCGGGATAGAAAGCTAAGGCAGTTAACACAGAACTCCACTACTAGATTTGGATTCCAGTACAAAGCAATGGATTGACTAACTCTCGTATAATCAATCCACTCATATCAACTGAATAAGCTCTAACAACCTAATCAGATTCTATCTATCTCAGGTTGCAACAGAAATCAAGAGAATTTAATGAGGATTCGATTGACTCAATAAACAGACTTCAATCAATTATAATCAAACAGTATATCAATCCAAAAGTCATTAGAACTCAAATCCCTAACACATGGAACTATGGTTCTTCATACCCAAGTGAGAGAAAGGTCTACTCCATATAGAGAGAGAGAGAGAGAGAGAGAGG